GGTAAAAACAATATCAAGAAGCCTAATTCCAAGTATGTTAATGTTTTCACAACTCCGTCCTGAATAAAACAAAGCCATGGCCACCGATAATGCCGCTCTCCTGGCTAATCATACGTGGGATCTGGTCCGACGTCTTCCCCACTATAGTGTTGTTGTTAATCGTTGGGTATGGCATGTGAAATGCAACCTGGATGGATCTATCGAGCGCTTTAAAGCTCGGCCTGCGGCTAAAGGGTTACATCAGAGACATGGTCTTGATTTTCATGAGACTTTCAGTTTGTTTATTAAACCCGTTACCATTCGGGTGGTCTTCGCTATTGCTCTCCCATTCATGGTCGGTTTATCAGTTTGATGTTCATACTGCTTTTCTACAAGGGCCTTTGCAAGATGAGGTTTATATGTCACAGCTTCCAGGGTTTCATGATCCTCAGTTTCCACATCATGTCTGTCGTCTTCGTCGGGCAATTTATGGCTTGCGGCAGGCACCACTCTCCTGGTATGAAGCTGTTAGTTCATTCTTGGAGAGCTGCGGTTTTGTGAAGACAAAGTCTGATGCTTCGCTATTCGTCTATCGACGAGGTTAGGTGACTGCCTATTTTCTCATGTATGTGGATGATCTTCTACTCACGGGTAATACTCCTGTTTTGGCCGAGTTTCATCGTCGTCTTGCTACTCGGTGTGCCGTCAAGCATCTTGGTCTTGTTAACTTCTTTCTTGGCATTGAAGTTATCCCTACGGAGTCTGGTTATCTTCTCTTCCAGCATCTCTATGTTGTAGATCTCTTCACTAGATTTCAGATGCATGGTGCCAAGCCTTATCCTACGCCGCTCACTTCTACCTCTCAGTTGTGCCTCAAGGATGGTTCTCCTCCCGCTAATGTTACTCTCTACCGTCAGGTGCTGGGCGCTTTGCAGTATCTAGTTACTACTCGTCCTGACATTGCGTTCTGTTAATAACTTGTCTCAGTTCATGCATGCACCCACTACTCAGCATTGACAGCATATTAAGCGTTTGCTTCGCTATGTTGCTAGTACTCGCACTCTTGGTCTTCGCATCACTCGTCATGCTCTTTCGTTGCCTCTGCGTGTGTTTTCTAACTCTGATTGGGCTGGTGATCCAGATGATCGTTTTCCACTTTTGGTTTTTTATTTATCTTGGTGATATGCTCATTTCCTGAAAGTCCAAGATGTAGCGAACTATTGCTCGCTCCAGCACTAAGGCAGAGTATCGTGCTCTTGCCCTTGCGACTTCCGAGTTGGTTTGGGTTCGTAATCTTCTTTCTGAGCTACATCAGTTGCCCTCGTCTACCTCGGGTCTCTACTGCGACAACCTTGTTGCTGTCAACTTTAGCACCAATCCTGTCTTTCACTCTCGTATGAAGCATCTTGCTTTGGATTACTTGTTTGTTCATTAGCTGGTCCAGTCTCGCCAGCTTCTTGTGCGGCACGTTCCTGTCAAGAACCAGTTGATCCCAATAACTCGAGTTGTTGGGAGAGGTTCAATCGTGGATCATATACCACAACACTAACACGCCCCCTCAAACGAAAGCAACTCACAAGGGCTTGAAGTTTGCACAGGTCTGAAGACAAGAATACCATGTGCTTAACAAATGGGGGTCACCGGGAATCGAACACAAGACCTCTCGGTCACAGAAGGCTCTGATACCATGTCAAGAACCAGTTGATCCCAATAACTCGAGTTGTTGGGAGAGGTTCAATCGTGGATCATATACCACAACACTAACAGTTCCTACAGCTACTGAGCTTGCTGATTTGCTTACTAATCCTTTGCCCCTAGCTCGATTTCGACTGTTGTGTTTCAAGATTGGACTCGCTGACGGTGCCTCCATCTTACGGGGGCGTAGTTGTAGTTTCCTTATAATACAAGTATTCCTTTCGTAGTTGTACATGGTTAGTACGTATGTAACCTGGGTTATAAATAACCCTCTCTTGTTAATAATATAACACACAATTCCCATAAACCTTATAGGGAACAAGGCCGAGGGGATGGAGTGGAAGGTGAGGGTTGGATGGATCATATTCAGTTTACTATAATACTCCTATTAATTATGTTAGCATGGTGCTAACATTAAAGGGTGTTTGCATCCTATCCTATCTACTCCTGTATTTTTTCATTGATACCACTGGGATAGGAATTATCACCGAGATGAGAAGAAATAATAAATTAATATAATTTTTTCACTCACCCTCAGCCCTCCCCATCTCCGGACACGGCAGGTCAAAGCAGAACCAACCGACTTCTCTACGACGACCACATCTCCCACACTTCAACATATCTGCCAGCACCCTTCCGCTTGTAGCCTTCCACCGGCAACCGCCTCCCTGACCAAACCAGACCTGCTCCCCTCCAATGCACAAACTCGTTCGATAATAGCAGCAACATCATTGGAAAAAAGTCAAAAAACAGACCTGGAGGCAGTGAAAGAATTAAAACATTACTGGAAACACGTGAAGAACGGTGGTCCCGGTCAATCGTGTTCGTCGACATAGCTCTTCTTCATTGTTGGGCATCGCCCAACCATTCACCTCTACCGCCGGTGCCTTTGAATTGTTCCCGTCGACTGTAAGGAAGTGGTTAAGTACCATACATGGGCCTGTATAAGATCCAACATAACCTTCTCCCAATAACTCGAGTTATTGGGACCAACTTGTTTATGACATGGTATCAGAGCCTAGTTTGTCATTGAGGTCACGTGTTCAAGTCCTCACGACCCTCAATATTAACCGTTATCTTTTTCTCCCAATAATTCAAATTATTGGGACCAACTGGTTTATGACATGGTAAAAAACCATATCCCCCACTCAATCACTACAACTCCCCGCTCCCAAATTTGTCACCATTGCAAGCTAAGCTCCATTAATTTTTGACTGAATTTCATTTTTGATTGGGCTTCCATTACGATGGCAAGTAGATCCAACGCGAGCAAGGGCAAATTTGTCACCATTGCAAGCTAAGCTCCATTAATTTTTGACTGAATTTCATTTTTGATTGGGCTTCCATTACGATTGCAAGTAGATCCAACGCGAGCAAGGGAGGGACAACGGAAGCGCCTCCGGCTATTGTGGGATTAGGTTTTCTGAGAATTAACATTTGAGAATTATGTCTGGGGAGAGTAGAAGGGAATTGCAGGCGAGAAAGGGAGTGGGGGAGGCGGCGGGTCTGGGAGATGGGATGGGAATCGCAGGCGAGAGAGGGAGGGTGGGGAGGCGGCGGGCTTGGGACTTTGGGGAGAGTCGATGAGATTTTTTTTTGTAATTTATCTGTTTATAGTTTGTATTTAATTTTTAAATTAAAAAATGAGGTGTTAATGATGTGGTTGTCACGTTTTTGCTACACCAGCAAAAGTCAATTTTAAGTTGACCATAGTCTGGTCAACCATTATTTATAACAGTCAACAAAATCGTCAGGATATAAATGACACAAAATTATAATAGTTTGGGACATAAATGGAATATTGGATACTTCGGGATACAAGTGACATTTTTATGATAGTTCGGGTATTCTAATAGTATTTGCCATATAATTTTTAATTAGTATACAATAAGTTTTGTTTTTACTATATAAAGGGCATTGCTATTATAGTTTTTTGGTATAAACTTCTGTAATTTTTTTTATTCCTTGTAATTTTTGGTATAAACTTCTGTAATTTTTTTTTGGTATACAATAAGTTTTTTTTTTGCAAGATAATTGAGAACACGTCTTATTGCAATAATAATAATAATAATAATAATAATAATAATAATAATAATAACCAACCTAATTTGTACCGTGAAACTATATCATATCGGCGTTAACGGTAAAAATATCTTATCGATATACGATTTTTAGCACTATTAAACGTTTGAACCACGATTTCAGTACAAAATACTCGTTCATTAATTTTTTCAAATACAATTACTTCTAGTGCGGTGTCGCAATTCTTGACCCGTACTAAGTACTAACGGTTTATTTCTTATCACAATTTCTTCTCTCAATTTACTTCCCTTGTATTATTTCGACTTCACTGTGTCTGGGCTTTTCCAAACTATCTCATCTCATCATTTTCAAATAAAGGTTAATGAAACAGATTCTATTTTTACAGAGATGGCTAGTGATCATCTAAAACAAAAAAATATTGGACTATATATTACTGTCGTAATAATTTCAGCCATTAAAAATAATTATGAAAATGAGTTTAGTGACGAGAAGTTTTCTTTACCGACGAATTTAGCCTTTGTCACAAATCAGCTGTCATAGCTAATTTTCATCACTAATGATAGTGTGTTGATGACATCCTATCAGAGTTAATTTGTGTTTGAGGTCACGTGTTCAAGTGCTCACGAGTCTCAGTATTAATCGTTGTCTCAAAGCACATGGTATGGAGAGGTCTTTGCAAAATTCAAGCCCATAAGTCGGCTTTCATTTGAGGAGGCATGGAAGAAAGTGATTAAGTACCATACACTAACCTCTTCCAACAACTCACGCTATTGGGACCAGTTGGTTTATGACAAGCCGTTTTATTAATTCAGCATATTGTTTCGGAATGCAAAGACAAAAGATATAAAGTTAAGTTAGAAAACAGGAAACAAATTTAACAAAATAAATTGAACTAGAGAATATTAAGGCAAAGTTGAAGTATATACTCAAATGCGATGTTAATCGCATCAACAGTATAATTTATAGCTGAAAAGTAAAACTGCAACCCCCATTCAAATTTCCCTGCCTATAGAGTAATTTTAGGAAGCTGATGTGGCAGGATGTTAAGCGGGGAAAAAATAAAACTCCCCGCCCAGAACTAAGAAACCGTCCCTCCCCAACTTTTCTCCTGTTTCCCACGTCATCATTTAATTTTATTTTAGTTTTCGTTTGACTGAAATTAAGCCCACCTTTTCTACTGGTTATTAAGAGAGAGAAGAAACTCACGGAAAGGGAAGCGCAATTGCAAGCACATTACAGGGGAAAGGTGAAAGGGAGGAGAAGGAAGGAGGTTGCTTACCATTTTACAGATACGATCTGCGGAAGGAATGGAAGAAGCGATTAGGCAGGCGTAGAGGAGCTTCCCGTTGGCGGTAAAGTAGAAAGCGCCGGGGGTTTCCATGGTCGGGGATCAAGGAGAGCTTTAGGGAGCGGAGGGTTTGGGGCTGCGATGGATCGAATGTTAGGGTTTGGAGGCGGCGGGAATTTGGGGTTCTGAGGAGAACCTGGATCGATTTGGGGTGCATATTTGCGGGTAAACTTTCTAGGGTTTGGGAAGACAAAATTGAATCGTGTAATTGAGGAGAGAAATCGAAAGAACACCGTCTCCCCCGCCGCCACGAACCCTGCTTCTTCTTTCTTCTCTGCTTCAGGCTCTAGAAGGTCGCTCCAAATTGCTCTCAGCTACTCTTGGATGGGTTTGTTCTATTTCTCCCCCTTTCATTAACTCTTTACATTCTGGGTTCAGTTCATATTCATTGCATTCTGAACGAGGGTGCTTTTCAAGACACTAAGTTATTCAACTCTTTACAAAAAGAGGGCATTTTGTTCCCATTCCAAAGCTTTGTCCAAATAGGAAGCTAATTATGATACTGGAATCGACAGCTTCCAGCGACAAAGACGAAACCAGGAAAACACAGAAGTAAAAGAAAGATGGAGTCGCTGTCAAATTCTATTTAGTTAGAGTTAGTTAACTCTTTTCAGCATCATTGTTATTTTTAATGTTTGTACATTAGCTCTGATGACTTTGAATGGTCCTAGGTAAACAAAGTTGCATAGCTATGAATGATAACATGATGAGCTGAATCGTCACTGTAAATGCTTGAAATTGTGTTAATTCCTGACCCCGACTCCGAAATTTCCCCTCCTAACCCTGAACTCCCCTGCCATTTTAAAAAAAGAGAAAGACTACATTAGTAATGACTAATGTAGGGAAACTGATGATATGATCTCATTGTCTAGGCATGTTGCTGCTTCACATCATGCGCTTAGCGTGTGAAGGGGAACCTTAAATCCCACTCTATATTTAGCTTCGAGTTGTTAGCTATACCCGCTAACAGTCATCTTGACAAACCTCAGGCGTTCATTTTGTTCTCGCCCGCAAATTTCAATCCTGCTGAACCGTTGTAAAGATCTTTGCACAATTTTCAAATTGCACTATGATCCTGAACTGCCTCCCATTTGTTAAGCTTGAATCTTTATGAATGTTTGGGAAACTGTGGTTTGATGCGGTGATGTTGAAATATTTATGTTTGGAAATCTTGCTGCTCTGCAGGCAGCGTCTAAGCTGATAAAGAGCTCAGTTTTGCCGACTCTTGAAGAATACAGACCCATAATTCTGTCATCTCTCAAGTTCTCCAAGTTTACTTTTGGTACAGTTTCCCCTTAGTCAGGTTGGTTCTCTTCTTTCTTTTCTATTGTGATTAGTTTGAGATTCGAAGTAGAGAATTGTGTTCCAATAGTATAATATATTTTTTTTTTTTCGCATGCTCTGAACTCAATAGAGTCATGATTTGTGAAGTATCTTTTAAGAACATTGATGCAGCTACTTAGGTCATGTAACTAAGGATAAAGTATGCATTTATACTTGGTGGGAAGAGTTTTATTGCCCTTGCAAAATTGCAGGACTCGGAACTGAACTTACCACAAGTAGTCCATGTTGGATTAGAAAAGGCTGCCTCTTGATTCCATCACCACCTCTGCTCCCATCTCTACCTTATGGTATTCTCTGCATATTTAGTATGAACCCATAATGGGATATTCAGGTAACATCTTACATCAATGTCTTGGTATTTGTATCCATGAACCATATTAGAAGAAGCACATATCCCAATTGGGTGGGCTCAATCACTACATATTTTCTCCTCTCCTCCACAGAGGACCCGGACCCAACCTGAAGCCATCAGTGTAAAAGAGAAGGAACCATTTATGTGAAAGCTAAGTGGCCCTTGAACCTGGATAAAGAGACCGTTGTAAGTATCGAACGGTAAGTGGGGAGAGAGTATATGATTGCAAATATAATTTGCTAGGATTGGTTGCTGCTCTACTCAATTGACAGTTAATTGGTTTTGGAGAAGTATATGATTCCGTGGGGCAACAACATCAATGGTTATTATGTCTCTAAATTGGTTTTTCACTTTCGATGCTGGCCCTTAATCCTTTTTGGCTATAGTGACAAGGTCAGTTTCTACACCCTCCATTCTTTTCTCTCTTCTGTTGGCAGCAAAGTTGTGGCCGGTATGAATTTAGTTTGAGTCAGCAGAAGATGGAATTAGTAGGCGTCCAGACTGACTAGGGTGATAGTGTATAGTTTCTTGGGATTTTGAACTCATTTTTTCAATATTCTTCAACTGGTTATTCAATTCAAAAGCAACAAATTTCCATGCTAAGTTACTCTCCTTATTGGATCTTTTAGTTGTGTATAATTCTTGGTTTCGTGATATGGTATTGGAGATATGAGCAGGTGAGGTTGGAACGGACCAGAGCATTAGCAGAAGTTGGTTGTGAGATGGTATGTGTAAAATGGAATCATGGTAATTACTTGGCTCTGCTCATATAGGTAGGCTATATTTGAACCTCAAGGGAAGAATTCTCTTGCCACTTTTTAAGCTTTTTGTTTAGGTTTCCAACATCAATGTGTGACTGCTTTATGTCAACATAATCAAGCTTAATTGAAAGCAATACTTCCCACTTTGTACACTCAATTTTTCTGTGTTTCACGGCTTTCTTATCTAACTTTTTTGTTTCTAAATTGCCTCTATTTTGGATATAACTTGCAGTTTAGGCTATGTAATCGACAACTAATGATTTAATCCATGACCTTCAGAAGAACGGTTTGAGTTTACATTTTCCTTATGTCATTGGTTCTTATAAGTAATTTGTTGAGTTCTTATGCTAATGTACGATCTCTTTTTTTCTTTTTTTCCTTTAGTAGTTTGGTCCAAGAAATCATGTGATCATTATTTTTTTCTTAAGATCACTAGGTTCATCGATTTAGTTTGCCAATCAAGCATTTAACCTTCGTTTAGTTCCTAATTGAGAGCGTAAGATCATTTGTATGATAATAGTATATGCCTCCGATACTGTGTTAAGATGGAACTGAAATGAGTTTGATGTAATGTCTTTGTTTGGTCCACTTTTATTCAGTGTTCAAGAAGACGCAATTAATCTCTCGCCTAGGCACGATTAATAGCTGGGCAGGAGGAAATCGCCCAGTCTAGCCCTGGGTGATTGATCTAGGCACCTGGGCACTCGGAGACGCGTTTTCACTTTGGTGGGCGACGCCCAGAACAACTAATAAAGGGGAAATTGTAGTCTTTTTGTGAAAATCCCAAACCCTATTCTATTTCCCATTTCCATTCGACTAGCCGCTCCCCCTCATTGACCACCAGTGAGATCCCTCCTCATGGTTGGCGACTTGGGATGTTTAGGATTGTGGAAAATGGTTGTATGTATATTTGAAGGATGAATAATGATATGACGACTTGAGTTTTTGTGGAATATGGCTTATATATCATTTTTTTCAACGTTTAATCTCGCCTAGACAAGGACTAATCGGCATGGGTTAGGCGGTGCCTCCTCGCCTAGATAGCGCCTAGCGTCTTCTTGAACATTGCTTTTATTTGGGAGTAATAGTCATCTTTTTTTGTTGTTGGTAAAAACGAGAGCTCAGACGGGCGCTCTAACCCTTAACTATTAATCATATGTAGGATCTGAGCCCCAAGCGCGTCAAAGTACAACCAGTAGTTGAGCATATGACTCGGGTTATCCACAAACCAGATCCCAAAATGAATAGTGTGTCCAAGTGAAGCTAAATAGTCCGCTACATAATTTCTCTCCCAGAACACATGCTCTAGCTGACTTCCCAGTCTCGAGCCAGCAGCTGTCGCACCTCTGCGACTAAAGTATGATGAGGATGACTGGAAGAATCGCCATTGACGAGGGCGAGCGTCGTTGCCGAATCTGTTTGCAGCTGAAGTTGTCGGATCCCTGTGTCCCAAGTCATGCTGAGTCCATGAAATCCCCGCCAGTTCAGCATGGATGATTGGCCGTAAAAGCTCTCACAAACTGACAGTCCTGTCTGCATAAATCTCCTCCCGCTGCTGAGTTCCCTTGGCTTGTGTTAACAGAGCCATCAGTATTCAAACAGGTCCTTCCCTGCAGAGGTGGTTCCCAGCCAACTAGCCAAGCATCATTTTCCACCCGCTCTGTAGCCTCCCCGAGAACCTGCCCAATCCTCCTGGAAGATTGATCAATCTGCACTCGCTTTTGCTGGATTTGGTAGGCTAACTGGGTTGCCGGCGCCAATAGTCTCTCGAAGACCCAGAGGTTTCTATTTTTCCATAGTTGCCAACAGAAAGTAGCGAAGAGGGATGCGTCTATCGGTCTATGGTATTAATAGTCATCTTTATCACTATGCTTTTCATTTTATTTGTTGCTTCTAATTATAATGATCAACAGATAATTCAATAAAATATGTGATCGCGTTGACCTATCAATCAATTTGGAATTGTGCAAATTGTTCAAAATAAACACTATTTCAAGAGACATTGTTTTATGCAGGTATAACAGCTCCATTCTCTACTAGCAAAAGCGAAGTCGATCAGTTGCCTGGAGGGAGGGAAACATCATTGGGAATCTTCTTGAAATTCCCCGACTTTTATTGTTGATCATCTGACCTTCCAAAAATTGCGATGAGCATAATGTAATTGTCCATTTTTTTGCAAGAGGATAATAGATTATTACCAACTAATTCACTAATAATTCTTGAGCTTTACGGATGGTATTCTTTTTAATTAATTTTCTTTATTATAGTAATTTATTGTTGTAAATTTTCACTTCATAATGTTAGTATACGTGTAACTATGAACATAATTGTTGAAAGCGTACTAATATTTGTGGATACTTGAAACCTTATATGCTATGAAATAGGTGGCAGACACAAGGACTGTCGTCAATTTAGCATATGTTATACTATCGAGCTAAAGGCCGAGCACAAAGCTAAGAACAAATTTATGGGCACACAAATTTTGAAAAAAAAGTTTTTATTTGTTGGTGGCACATATTTGTTATAAATTTTTAGAATCTTTCAAATGACATAGTAGACAAATCTATAAGTGTTGACTTTTAGATATCAAAGGCAACACCAAAATCAATTATAAAAAATCCATATTGATTTCTGTTGGGGGTGTGACTAAATACTCCACGCGCGGATTAAAAAAGGGCGCGCTCAATCTGTAACGTGCTC